ACAATAAGACACACCCCCTCCCCTTCCTTAGCCATCTCACTAATGTTGACGCAGCTGAGCAATCAAATAACCATTTCGCTACTATATGCCAGACGCTCTCCCGGCTTGACACAACCACTCTCCCTGCTTACCTACCAGCCCCCCTTCCCACTGACTTAGTAGAAGAATTTGAAGTAGCAAAACGTCTGGACAACCTAAAATTAAAACGCTCTACCACCCCCATTGACTTACCAATGAAACTCTTCAAGGAGTTCTCCCCGGAGCTTGCTAAACCCCTATGCTCCATCATCAATGCTTCTCTCAGTCAAGTCAGATGCCCAGCTGACTGGAAGACCTCTTATGTATCACCAGTGCCCAAGTCAACCAGCCCACAATCCTTAAATCAGCTACGACCTATTGCAATCACCCCAATACCCAGCCTAATCTGTGAAAGTTTTGTGTTCGACTAGGCTTATGCTGATATTGCAGGAGTCGTAGACCCTCAGCAATTTGGCAATATGAAAACTTCCTCCACCACTCACTGTCTTGTCAGCTTTCTCGATTACATATACCGCCATCTCGAGAAACGGAAAACGTCTGTAGCTGTCGCCTTCATTGATTTCACTAAAGCTGTACGCTTCCGAGGGGCTGTCTCCACCTTTCAGTCACTCACCTGTGGCGTCCCCCAAGGCACCAAGATGGGACCACTCTGCTTCCTTATGCTTATCAATGATGCCCTAAGAGAAACCCCCGATCGCTGGAAATATGTCGACGACTCCACACTTGGAATCAGCGTCAACACTTCTGCTCCCGACTATACCGCCCTTCAGGATTTATTGAACAGTCTCCAAAACTGGGCCACCAACAACCACGTCACCATCAACCATACCAAGACCATGGTTATGCACATCAACCTCTCCTCCGACATTGTCCCACCCCCTTCCATTACTTTAGGTCCGAACACACTCCAGGTTGTAGATTCCACTAAGCTCCTCGGCGTCACCATAGACAACAAACTAAATTGGAAAACACACGTCAGTGAAGTTGTCAAATCCTCCAGTTTTCGTCTCCACCTCCTCCGCCGACTCAAATCCCTCGGAGTTCCTGCACCCGAGCTCCTCAGTGTTTACTCAACATTCATACTTCCGAAGCTCACCTATGCCTCCCCTACCTGGTCTTCCTCCCTAAATGCCACACAATGTAAACACCTAGAAAAAGTGCAAAAGAGGGCATGCAAGATTATTCTCTCCCCTTCCTACTCCACATATCAAGAAGCGCTCAACACACTGACCCTTTCGACTCTCACTGACCATCACCACGACCTCATCTGCAAATTTGGTAAGAAGCTTCTGCACCATCCTCGACACCGGCTCCTACTACCACCTGAGATCCCTAGCCCGAGAATTGCTGTTCGACACCACAACCGCATCCAGCCCATACGTGCACGAACTGATCACTATAAGAACAGCCCAGTCTCAACCATTGTAAAAATTATCAATAACTTGTAATAAACCAGTGTATTCACTCCCAGTAAATACTACTTCTTGCACTGTCACTATGTTGAAATGCCCTGTAGTTTGAGCTTTTCCCCATCTAGTTATTATATATCTTATTTATATCACTTATGTTATTTGTATATTATTTGTAATTCGAAACCCATTCCTCAATTATATAACTGTATATTTTCAGCCTTCTGGCTGCCAAGCTCTTTCAATAAACCGTTAATTATTATTATTATTATTTTTACATCAAAAGCTCTCCTCATCATTGCCATCTCTTTCAGTTTCCTTACACAGTAAAACCTACAGGTATCTATCCTTGCCCTATTATACCGCTATATTCATCGTCATTTCTCTGATGACAACCAATTTGTCATTTCAGTCAGTACTCCAACCCAGGAACTTTAAATGGATGTTCTCTCGCTTACTACCAACACAAACCTAACACATGCGAAAGTCAATCTTCCTTCCTTCCTCGTTCTTATTATATATGTACGAATATTACTCCTGCGGCATAATAATATAACATGTAACTGTTCTGATTTAAATCATACCATGTTCTATATCATATTAAATCTTAAAAAAATAACAAGGTCACAGTGTTCACAAACAGCTTCATGGTGTGTCGCTGTCCAAAGCATCGCACTCGACCACTTAACAAGCAAAGACCTGAGGTAGGCCTACACGAGGAGGCGTTTGTATTGTCTCAGAAATGTGAGTCACCGCAGGGGAGGAAAAAATATGTCTGTTAATAATATACAACCACTGTAGTTGTAAGTCACATGAGCATCAGTCATAACCTGCTCTTTAAGGTTGTGTCTATTAGCAGCGGGTTTCATCTGACCAGTCACCACCACTGCAACATAATGTACACGTCTGTAACAGCTTGTAAAACCATAGTGCACTACTTAATTTTATTGATTGTGGAAGGCACAGTATCTCGTGGTGACACCTGCCTGATCCTCTGTCAGGTGATCGTGAACCACACTAAAGTACACCCAGCAGGAATTGGAGATATACAGCTCATCGAAGAAAAAATATTTGAATTAAAAAGTATAACCGTTTTCACTATTCAATTCTTGGAAACGACCATTACATATATATATATATATATATATATATATATATATATATATTTAGCCCAATAGCACGCAGACTTCTACATACAATCAACACCTCAACCCAACAGGATTCGAACCCACGGCCCACTTGCCCATGAATGTGACCGGGGAACGATAACCGCTGGACCACCAGGATACTAAAAGCAGTCCTAGACTTTGTTATATTTCACACAAAGCCTGTTCAACGAGCTTATGGCGCCGTGAACCTCTAATGGGGACTACCCGTATCACTTAAGTCGTCAGAGTAACGTTTTACCAAATCCGGCTTCGAAACACGAGGATCCATATATATTTCATTAGCCCAATAGCACGCTGACTTATACATACAACCAACACCTCAACCCGCCAGGATATATATATATATATTATATATATATATATATATATATATATATATATATATATATATATATATATATATATATATATATATATATATTGTTGATAAGCTACATGTATATGTACTGTGTGTAGAAAGTCCGTCCATTTGTTGAAATAAGTCCAAATTATGATAAGCAAGATCTAGGTCAGCGTTGTTCCCTTTCCCTCCTTTCCACCCTTCTCTTCCCTTCCATCCTCACCACTCCATTCCCTCCGTTTTTTCTGCATTCTTTCTGTTTGTGATAATATCAGACAAGAGGGGCCCCTTCCCCCGCTGTGACTGAAGTTCCCAAGCAGAATCAAGAGACCATCCTCCCACCACACACCCCCAAGCTGTAGTGTGAGATGACAACATAAATAGTGGATACAACATTGATGTGGACAGTTCTGGAGAATTAGAGTTACGTTAATACATTCCTCTCTGAGTTTTATTATATTTTTTCTGTTTCTTCATCTTCAGTAGAGGAACAGTATTTCTTTGTAGGTAACAAGTAATGGCAACGTAACTATTTAAATCATTGGGCGTTCAAAGTATTTAAAAGCTAAGCCTAATGGCATTTTATAATCATTGTTTTTCTGGAATATTTTTTGGACTTTTTTGTATATGGACTATGTTACTTTGTTTTTAAACCTTACCTGTTCCATTGTTTGGTTATATTTGGGTTTTGGCCGAAATCTGTTTGTTTTCTCATAAACCTTTTATACACAACTGATAGAAGACTAATTGGTCGATAGATTCTAAAATTTTGTTTCCTTTTATCTTCAACATTTGCTGCTTATTGATTGTCTCTAACCTTACTAATTTCATCTATCCACTTGATAGACTATTTTTTTTCCTTCGTGGTCTTTTCCTATCTCTTAGGATCTAACCGAGGATATCCGTCCAATGTTGGTTTTTCCCTCTTACTGTGTGTCCGGCCCACTACCATGTCAGTTCCATTATCTTACATTGACGTCTTGTGTACTGGACTGAAATCACACCCATTCATTTATTGTCTTGTCTTTGTCCAGAATATATCTTTCTGAGCTTCTTTACGTCGTTTGGAGCGTCTGTACTGTATCATGTCTGTGTATTTTCTCTCTGCCTTACAAGAATAATACTATCAAGTCCACTGTGTTTCTTGTCAGTTGGTCCAAGAAATTGTTGAACGAAACATTACAAGTAACCCAAACTATTAAAACGTAACTTTAATTAGATAAGAAAAATGTTACTATGTAGCCTACTGTTAAGCTGTAAAAAATTATGATAAGTACAGTATACTGTAATATCAATAACGGTACGCTCTCAGTTTGAAGTCATAAATCACGAACATCGTAAAAACCTGCACGATATTTTATATTTTGTTTCGGTGTACAGGTATTAGTGTACAGTTAAATGTTTATCCATACGCCCCATGTCTCACAGATCGGAACTTGAACCTTTATGCTTGCTTCAGTTTATTATACTGATGATTAAATTGGACCACAAATGTCCATGATATGTCTTCTAGTTGATTTAATTTTACTCCTTAATGTATACGTAGTAAAATATTAAAATACACGATGTGGGTTATTTAATACATCTGCCGGTTCTGATGTTGAATGAAGGTGCATGTACTGTACTGTATAAAGTCCATTTGTTGTCTTAAGGATCTATTGTCTACGTCATACCTGCAACTTCTCGTCTCTTAAGTACTGTACTTTGGTGAAATGTGAAGCAAGCTTAATCACAACTTTCTGGTGATATAAAATGATTCTTTACACTCCAAGTTAACACTAACAAACATAATACTGTATAAGTACTGTACATGATATATGAAGTAGTTCTCGTAAACATTACAGTGTCATAAATTTTGTCAAACTACCAGTCTTGGCTTCAGTTCAGTCATACAGCACATAATTTCTTTACAACCAACATGCCATCAATTGGAAGATTGGTGTGTAAACAAACTTCATTTACTGTCAGGAAGTCTTGTCATGCAGGTCTATCTGGCTGTTAATGGTCTAAAATGACGTCAGAAAGGACAGAAGAAAAAGAAAGTCTTTATCACACAATTTTATTAAAGTATGTAATAGCAGATACAATAATTTAGTGTAATTTATTATGGCCAAAGCTTAAAAGGTGCTTAACAGATGTACCATGTACTGTACATAAAGAGAAATTATAAATTAATTAATCCATCTATGCTAAACTACCCATTATATACTAATTATTTTGATGAGCAAATATAAAAAAAATTGTAGAATTTAATATTCTAAGTTACAATTTAGAGTAAACCAATTTAGAAAAAAATAAAACATGCACCAAGTATTCAAAGATGCTACAAATGTGGAATCTATCTACTGCGAACAACTGTACATGTTCTGCAAAGCTAAGATGATGTGCACAATAAAATTCAGATCCTTCCAGTAATAATGAGACTTGAGGTACAGTGTGTCAGTGACTGTAACAAATCATATTATCTAATTTGATTCTGCACATCTAATGTATATGACTCACATGCTTCTATAGCTTATATAAAAAAACACCCATGACTTAAGGACCTAATAGAATTATAATTTAAGTAGATGCATCTATTTAATTATTGTAATACAGTATAGTTTCACTCCACAGACTTACTCAATCAAATTTATATAAGTCAGATTAAATAAAGTAAACCTACTGTATATCAAGGCTAAAATACATTTTGGCTACAGTAGTAAATGATGGTTGAAATCTGTGAGAGCTGGAAACTAATGCTAAGGATATAATGATCAAAATATACAGAAGCGGTATTATTTGTATCGTAGTCAGAAAGACATGTACTGTACGTTAATGTATTCTTATTAACTAAAATACAGAATAGCTGAAGCACATGATAACAGTGCATGGCTTTGAGGGCGATGGTGACTAATTACAACAAATGCACTAATGAAGGACAGGTTGAGGAAGACAGGAAGAGCACTTGTTTATAGACAACTACATCCTAAAATTCCATGCTCTATTAGCAAACAAACTTGGTTTAAGTTTGATTAATATACTGTAGGTTTGAAGTCATTCATTGTTATTGTTATTATTTCAAGGAAAAGTCATTTTGGAAAAAAGAAAGTTTAAAACGAAGAACATTTACCAGAATGGTGTGAAGGAGAAATGATTGTTTTGAGGGGCAGTGAAGGACAAGTCATGTGAAGTCAGGTCATAAGGAGGTATTAGACTGGCTGTGGACGCTAGTGTAATCAAACGTCATCCAAGGAAAGGAAACGAGGTTCAAACGTCACTTCTTACCTGACCGTGTCTACTGGGAAATATAATGACGTCGGAGGAGGCTGGCGGAGGCGGTGCCGGGGCTCTGACAAACTCACGGAACGCTGATGGTGGTGGTGCTGGGGGACTAGGAATGACTGGGACAGCTGGAGGTCCAACTACTCCAGGGGGTGGTGGTGCCGGGGCTCTGATAACTGGGTCAAAGTTGGGGATGTCCAAAGGAGGTCCTGTAGGTCCGTTGAGCTCCTTATTAAAGGAGTTTTCCCTGATGAAGGCTTTAGTGATCTTCTGCTTGGAATCAAAGAGGGTGCCCTTCAGGATGTAGATATGGGTACCATCTTTATAGCTGCTCTCGCTCTCTGCAGGAACATCGTTCACAAACAACTGACCTGTAGAGACACGTAAACTTCCCTTATTCCACATATCTTAATACTTTATATGCTCAGGTTGCCGTCTACTGATATATTCAGGTCAGTTGTGGCAAAGAAATTTGATATATTATTTGTTGTTTGTAGGCGAACCTAAACTTTGAAAAACAATACAGTCGTTCGCATATACAAGAACTCTTCATCGTGAGGAGGAATGTTCTCAAAGGACGTCGGGAGGCGGGAGGGGAGGGGGGTGGTCAAGCGTGCAATGTGTGATACAGTGATGGCTACACGTCAGCCTGAAGGTGTGATATAGAGTGTCGCCCTCCCAAGGTGTAGTTAAATATGAATTATGAAAGTATTACAGTACTTGTTTCTGCCCTCGTAAACATAATAACTAAGATATTATTTACTTGGGTTATCTTAAAGTCTTTAAGTTCTTGGCAGTTTGAGTTTATCTTTATATTTATATAATTAACCTTCTGGTGAAGGGTAGTGGAGGATGTGCGGATCTTGAACGGCGTTAACAACACAGACAACACTACTTTATCTTCCGTGACTTGGGGCTGTAATGGCGGGGCTCAAGGTTATTATAAAAATACATGGCGCTACCTTTCCTTAATACACCAACACAACTAAGTATCAACCCGTGAAAATATGACATTTACTTATTTTTTATAAGACTTCGTTCAACCAAATTTGGGAATATCATTGTTTTTACTTAATGAATCTCACGTCCAGCAGTTTTATCATCCCTTACAGTGGGATTTCAGTGATTTACATACATACATACATATAGACTTACCCTGATCATCTTTAGTGAAGGTCACATCCTTGCCGGAGAAGGTGAGGAGCTTGACACCGCTCTTCTCATTCAGGCGAGGATCTGTGAACTCAAGAACCTCTTGCACAAGATGGTTTAACAAGAACTCCCGGCGGAGGGCAGCAAGGGCGGGGGTACTGCCGTAGAGGGGGTTAGCGGCGTCCTGGTGTATAAGGGAATGCAGAACTATTGACTCTGGAGCCAGAATCGTCTTGGCCTCTGTAGGGAGATACACATCAAGGTTAGGAGTCTTAAGTAAGATATATACACAGTACTACATTACTCATGGTAAGAAGCTGTGTAGTGTAATTACACAGTGAGATGCTAAAAAAACTAAATGGAATATTTAAGAGGTACTTAAGAAGATGAGATTCAGGTGTAGAGTGATTTAATCAGTAATGGAGAGGATACGATTGCTTCATAAGACAGAATTCGCGATATGCAGGCGATATTTAGTAAGATTGAGATGGAAATTTATTGAATGTGACCGGGATATAGTGGCCAAATGCGCGATCAGAAAGCAGAATGGAATGTTTTGACTGTGATTAAACTAACCAGAGGCATGATGAGAATATAGGTTGGGGTACTACTAAGATGCAGTGATTAATGGATCCTCTGTGACGAAGGTGTTCACAGGACAGGGGTGAAGACTAGAAGAATAATGTCTTAACACACTGTACAATTTGGTTACTTAAAAAGAAACTTATATACCACTCAAGGATAACTACTACTACTTCTCCTTCTTCTGCTGCTGTTTCTATGAATCTATTTTATTATTATTATTATTATTATTATTATTATTATTATTATTATTATTATTATTATTATTATTATTATTATTATTGTTATTATTATTATTATTATTATTATTATTATTATTAATGTTGTTGTTGTTGCTGCTGCAGACAGAAGCACAACTCTAACAGTAGGACGATAAAAGAATAAAACATAAGAAGAAAGATCACACACACACACACACACACACACACACACACACACACACACACACACACACACACACACACACACAAAACACTGATAAGGAATAAACACATCCTCAAGACATTATAGCCAAGATGATAAAAACTTCTCATTTAAATCAGACAAAAAAATAAATACCAAATGTTCATTGACAAAAAAAGAACAACAGGAAAACACTACCGATAAACTCATTCAAATTTACAAATGAAATCACAATCTGTCGACCAGTTTGTTAGTTATCCAGTCATTGAACCACTATGTCGATCGGCCAGACACTTTGTCAGTCAGTCAGCTAAATTAGTTAGCAACACAGTAAAAAAAATCAGTTTTACGCCAATTTACCAAGACGTCAGTCACTTAAACATGGCAACAGCATACGGCAATGAATGCACCAGTTAGCAAAGCAGGTAGTCACTCACTCAGTAAACATGCTCGTTAATCAGTGACTTAGTCTGACAGTTGGTATAACAGTCAATAGAATATATAGATAGATATTTCAACTCATTATTTCACTACTGTGAAAGTCTGTCTGTCAACTAAGAGACAGTTAATTGGATACTCAATACAACAGTTGTCAACCCATCAGCAGGCTTGAGTCATCCAGCCAGCTAGTGAATCCTCCAGAAAGTAATCCTCTTCGTCACCGAGTCAGTTAGTCGGCTAGTCAGGCTCTAGGTCAACCAGTCAATCAGCTTTACAGCCAGCCAAATGATTGCTGCAATAAGGAGTTACAGTTAGTCACTGAACCCAACAGTCAAGTGTTTAGGGGAGGAGGCGAACCACCCTCATCCCGGTACCCGGTGGCACATACTGTACATATATCCCCTGGTACCCTCATCCCAGTACCCAATGGGGCAGATAACACCCCGGGACCCACATCCCGGTACACTGAGGCCAAGACCCTCCACGCCACCGCCACCCACCACCACGTAATAACAGGTTGGCAGGTGGGAGGATAACTTATGTTTCTGGGAAGGCGATGAATGGCAGGAGGTCCCCGCGAAGGACACTCCGAGGATACCTCTCTCACTCTTAATTTTCCACTTCACTAATATTCTGAAATAGACGACAGTATTGTTTCTACCATGTGCCACATCAAAAACTCAACATTGGAGTCACTAGGTCAAGATAGTTTAGGTTGAAACAAAATTAACTTTAGTGTGAAGTTTCTGTAATGTAGACTTAAGATGACATACCTCTTCTTTCTCCCAACTATTTCATAGTGCAAAGTGAATATTACTACAGCCAGACGTGTTAAATTCGTGATGAAAAGAACGTGGATACCCAAGTACCGTGTAAGTCAACATGCTGACGACTATTAATATATAACCTATTTCTTGAGTAGAGCAATGGGTTGGTAAGGATGAGTCTGTAAATTTGTTTGACATGCATTAACGGGGGCGGGGCGGAGGGAACGCTGTAAATGGAACTGTTCAAGGTTAAGCAACATACTCGTACATGTTAACTGAAGCACAGTGTATGCACGTAGAAATCCTCAATTAATATTATTTTTAACTCCATGTTTATATTTATCCTGCCTCGGGTTAAAGGGAGACAAAAGGCAACACACCCTACCTATATACTTTTTATCTCCACACACACACACACACACACACACACACACACACACACACACACACACACACACACACACACACACACACACACACTAGAGCCATAGACACCCTTTTTCCATAAACAGACATCCTCCCTCCCACACACAGACATCCTCCCTCCCACACACAGAAAACACCCTCCCTCCCACACACAGAAACCCTACCTCCCACACTGACACCCTCCCAAACACAGACACCCTCTTCCCACACACAGACACCCCTCCCACACACAAACACCCTCCCCACACACAGACACCCTCCCCCACACACACAGACACCCTCCCTCCCACACACAGACAACCTCCCTCCCACACACAGACACCCTCCCTCCCACACACAGACACCCTCCCTCCCCACACACAGACATCCTCCTCCCACACACACACACCCTCCCTCCCACACAGACATCCTCCCTCCCACACACAGACACCCTCCCTCCCACACAGAGACACCCTCTTCCCACACAAGACACCCTCCCCCCACACACACAGACACCCTCCCTCCCACACACAGACATCCTCCCTCCCCACACACAGACACCCTCCCTCCCCACACAGACATCCTCCCTCCCACACACAGACACCCTCCCTCCCACACAGAGACACCCTCTTCCCACACAAAGACACCCTCCCCACACACAGACAACCTCCCTCCCACACACAGACAACCTCCCTCCACACACACCCTCCCTCCCACACACAGACACCCTCCCTCCCACACACAGACATCCTCCCTCCCACACACAGACAACCTCCCTCCCACACACAGACACCCTCTTCCCACACAAAGACACCCTCCCTCCCACACACAGACACCCTCCCTCCCACACACAGACACCCTCCCAACCACAGACAGACACCCTCCAGCCACACACAGACACCCTCCCAACCACACACAGACACCCTCCAGCCACACACAGACACCCTCCCTCCCACACACAGACATCCTCCTCCCACACACAGACAACCTCCCTCCCACACACAGACACCCTCTTCCCACACAAAGACACCCTCCCTCCCACACACAGACACCCTCCTCCCACACACAGACACCCTCCCAACCACAGACAGACACCCTCCAGCCACACACAGACACCTCCCAACCACACACAGACACCCTCCAGCCACACACAGACACCCTCCCAACCACAGACAGACACCTCCAGCCACACACAGACACCCTCCCAACCACAGACACCCTCTTCCCACACAAAGACACCCTCCCCACACACAGACACCCTCTTCCCACACAAAGACACCCTCCCCCACACACAGACACCTCCCACACACAGACATCCTCCCTCCCACACACAGACACCCTCTTCCCACACAAAGACACCCTCCCTCACACACAGACACCCTCCCTCCCACACAGACACCCTCCAGCCACACACAGACACCCTCTTCCCACACACACACACCCTCTTCCCACACAAGACACCATCCCCCACACACAGACACCCTCCCACACACAGACACCCTCCCTCCCAACCACAGACACCCTCTTCCCACACACAGACACCCTCCAGCCACACACACAGACACCCTCCCAACCACAGACACCCTCTTCCCACACAAGACACCCTCCCCCACACACAGCCACCCTCCCACACACAGACACCCTCCCTCCCACACACACAGACACCCTCCAGCCACACACAGACACCCTCCCCACACAGACACCCTCCCAACCACAGACACCCTCTTCCCACACAAAGACACCCTCCCCCACACACAGACACCCTCCCACACACAGACACCCTCTTCACACACACAGACGCCCTCCCTCCCACACATAGACACCCTCCCAACACAGACACCCTCTTCCCACACACAGACACCCTCCCTCCCACACACAGACACCCTCCTCCCAAACACAGGCACCCTCCCCACACACAGACACCCTCCCACACACAGACACCCTCCCTCCCACACATAGACACCCTTCCAAACATAGACACCCTCTTCCCACACACAGACACCCCTACCTCCCACACACAGACACCCTCCTCCCACACACACAGACACCCTCCCCACACAGACACCCTCCCTCCCACACACAGACACCCTCCCTCCCATAGACACCCTCTTCCCACACACACAGACCCTCCCTCCCACACACAGACATCCTCCCTTCCACACACAGACACCCTACCTCCCACACACAGACACCCCCCACACACAGACACCCTCCCACACACAGACACCCTCCCTCCCACATATAGACACCCTCCCAAACATAGACACCCTCTTCCCACACACACAGACACACACACAGACACCCCTCCCTCCCACACACAGACACCCTTCCCCACACACACTCTCCCTCCCACACAGACACCCTACTCCCACACAGACACCTCCCTCCCACACACAGATACCCTGCCTCCCACACACAGACACCCTCCCTCCCACACACAGACACCCTCCCCACATACAGATACCCTCCCCCCACACAGACACCCTCCCCACACACTGAGACACCCTCCCTCCCACCACACACAGAGACACCCTCCCACACACAGACACCCTCCCCCACACACAGACACCCTGCCCCACACACACAGACACCCTCCCTCCCACACAGAGACACCCTCCCACACACAGACACCCTTCCCCACAC